GATGCTAAAGGGGATTGACGAAGTAGAAAGGATGTTTTCTCACTTTCAATCCAGAACAAGAGGTCACAGTTTTAGACTAAGAGATAGCAGATTTAAAACAGAGATGAGAAGAACTTACTTCTCTCAAAGGGTTGTGAAACTGTGCAATTCATTACTCCAGAGTGTGATGGATGCTGGTATATTGAGTAAATTTAATGAGGAGATAGACAGATTTTTAATTAGTAACGGGCTGAAGGGTATGGAGTGTGGACGGGAAAGTGGAGTTCAGACCAAGGTGAGACCAGCCATGTTTGTATTAAATGGCAGAGAAGGCTGATTGCTTACTCCTGCTAGTTCTCATGAATGAAGCGAAATACAAGGAATGAGTGGCCAACTAGGAAATCAATAAAATGCAATAATTACAATTATAATTGGAATGTTGCATAAAGACATCCATGGAAAAATTCCCCCTTGATTTTCTCTCCCTCAGAAGACAACTCCAGCATCTCTGCTTAACTGAGATCCCTCATTTCTGGTATCAGTCAATCCAAACACAAAAGCCTTTACATCCTTCCTAAAATGTGATGTCCAGCATTGTATGCAACATGATAGACTATGAGCATTTTTCAGTGTTATTGTCTAAGGGACGATTGTTGGGCAGGGGATTTAGATAGTTGTCTGCTTTTCTTTGAGGCCTTTAACAGAGGATGTAATCATTTACGCTTAACATTGCACCCAAAGGATGGGTCAATTATTGGATCATACCTTATGAGCCTAGATTATCTACTGAAATCTTATTTTTTGGTCTTGAATCTTCTAACCAAAGATATAAATGTAGAAAAACTGATAAAAGGAGAATTGTAAAGAAAGATGCGCAATTGACATATTGTAGTGTTTGAATTTCAAACTAAAGGCATATGTGTGATTATTGAAGAACTGAAAAAAAGTCAGAGAGTCCTTTGGAATCATGATCTAATTCATGAGCAGGAGATTACAAGACCCCTGGAGTATTAACGGAAGATTGTTTGTTTATACTGTGAGTTTACAACAAGGAGCAAACACTGAAATATATTAGCTTGCTTTTAGTTCAGAATAATCAAGGATTGATTTTAGCTTCAAAACAACCCAGAGTTTGAAAGCTATCAGGACAGATTTGGAGGAAAACTAACCAGGGTCAGGAGCAAATATAGTTTTCTCTTCTTGGAAGGAGTATAAAACAGTTCAAGTAAAGTTTAATTACTTCAGTGTTAAAGCTTAATTTGTGAAATTTTCAGACAAGAAATGTTTGGTTAGAAATTGGTAGATATTATTAAAAGACCAGGGAAGTGGAAGCTTTCAGTTTCATGGGTATTCATGCAAGAGGACTTCACATTTCACAGGATAGAACTGGGGAGAAACAGTTAAGTCAAACCTAAAGATTTGATATAGAAGGATAATTTCTCAGGATTGAAATGCTGTAAAGTGCTGGTGTTGGTAATAAATAAGACTTTGATTTGCTGTGTGTTTCAAGTTCCACCAAACTATCTTCTATATTTAGAAAGCTTGGATGGTTTCATTTTATTCTTTCCCTTTTGAGTAATAAATGTCTGTTTGATTGTTAAAAGAAAACTGCCACCTTGTGTAAGTTTATATTTCTGTGAATGACAACCACATAAAATAAATATATGATCTATCAACTAAATATTATTTTGGGATCAGAGTCACCTAGTAGTACCATCAGATTGGATTATAATTGGCTGAAAAATTGAAAAACAGGGTAAATAAAAAGTGTTAAATGTTAAATGCAATGTTGACAACACTTTGTTTCAAATATCTAATATTATGCAGCCTGGCTTTTGATACATTTTGTGGCTTTAATGTTCAAAATGTTCCAGATTTGCAGAAAACATATTGCTTTAAATTTAAAAAGAAACAATATAATTCCTTGCTTTGATTGAGAAATTTATTTCTGTTAATATATATGAAGCTCACATTAGCTCAGTTATGGTTTGATTTGTTGTGTATTTCTATGCTGCATTGTCCCTTGCTTTGCTGAAATTATAATGATTATGGCTTAAAAAGATTGATACAGTTCATTAACACATTTCCATAAAATTATATTGCAAGTTTAATGAACACACTAATTCCTCCACATTAAAATTACATAACAAGTGGGACAAAAATTTGTGTATATATGTCATGATGCAAGTTCAAGCCATTAGCCTTCATATGTTGATTGATAATTTGTGGCGTTAGAAATGACAGCAGCCAATAAATCTGAAATGAATATTGTTAAATAACTTGCTGATTTCCCAACAGTCTTGTCCTCCATGCCTGATTAGACTTGATTAGACTCTTTGCCTGCCTGACTAGACTGTTCGCCTTTAACCCCTGTTTAGGGGTGACATGGTGCTCAGTGATGCGTCACAGCGCCAGGTTTGGTTCTACCCTCAGGCGACTGCCTTTGATGAATTTGCACATTCTCCCTGTGTCTGTGTTAAAAGAAAACTGCCACCTTGTTCTCTGGGTGCTCCAGTTTCCTCTCCAAAGATGTGTAGGTTAGGTGAATTGGTGATGCTAAATTGCCCCTCGTGTGGATTAGGCATGAAAAATGCAGGGATGGAGGTGGGTCTGGGTGGGATGATCTTCAGAGGGTCAGTGTGGACTCAATGGGCCAAATGGCCTGCTTCCACACTGTAGGGATTTTATGCATCTCATAATTTGTCAACCGAAAATTAAAGCACATTAATTAAAAACAATTTCCAAACACAAAACTGACAACTGAATTTATTACAGTAGAACACATCATTAGTTTCTCCCAAAGCATGTTATCAGCAATGTGTTACTTTTAAAATGTTGCTGAAGTTAGCCTGACAAGCAATTTGCTCGCAGCCCATTCCTCAAATAAGTGAGTGTTTTCTTTTCTATTTGCTGATGTAACGAAGCCTGCATTTGTTGCTCATTCCAAATTGCCCTTGCTGTCTTGAACCTGAAAATCTTCCTTTTTATCGGTGGTACCAGTTGAAGTAGTGGAGGACTGTCTTCTTCCAGACAGTGTGACCTGAGCAGGACGCTTCTGAAGGCTGGTAACCCGACAGTGTGGCACAGAGGACACAGAGCCAGTCTGAACGACATACTGGGGCCCACGGTGGAGAATCTAGTGAAAACATTCTTCACCGCTTGACCTGTGGATGATGGGTGACCATCAAATGTAGGTGTAAGGGCACCTATATTTCTGATTTCACCTCAAGGTGGATGGAATTTTAACAAGAACACCATGCTCAATGACCTGTCAGAGGTTTCCAATTAACAATAGAATGTGTAAACTAGCACTCATCCAGCCCAGGACACAGGAAGCATTTTACATTCTTAGGGGTTGGTACCCCAAGCGCAGTCACAAGCTGATGGCTGGTAGCCCCAAATTCTGAGGCAGCACAGAACCAACTGTGCTCACGTTCTAACCTGATCTCCCATACCCCCTTCCTTCTCTTGGAGCTGATTTGGGATCACACTGGGAAACGCATTATCCTTTATCATCCCCAGTTGACTTTACCCACAGCAAGTAGAATATTTAAAGTTAAACAAAACAACAATGGCAAGGGTCAAGGAAGATAATTCTAACTCCCTCCACCCCAGAAAAACATGAGTTGTAAACAAACGCGGATGCTAGAAATCTGAAATTTAAAAAAAAACCCAGAAAGAGCTGGAGAAACTCAGCAGGTCTGTAGAGACAGAAACAGTCATAGAGTCATAGAAATGTACCGCACTGAAACAGACCCTTTGGTCCAACTCATCCAAGCCGTCCTAAATAAATCTAGTCCGATTTGTCAGCATTTGGTCCATATAACTCTAAACCCTTCCCATTCATGTACCCATCCAGGTGCCTTTTAAGTGTTGTAATCGTACCAGCCTCCACCACTTCCTCTGGCAGCTCATTCCATTCACGTACCACCCTCTGCGTGAAGAGGTTGCCCCTTAAGTCGCTTTTTCATCTTTCTCCTCTCACCTTAAACCTATGCCCTCTAGTTTTGGAATCACTGACCACATGGGCAGTGATTCAAACATAATGTTTCCAGTCTGATACAGCGGCTTCACTTTTAGGCGGCATCGTGTTGTATTTTTTTTTGTCCCCTCTCCAGTTTCGATTACCCTCCCCATTTTTATGATTTACACTGAAATGCAGAAACGGTCAATCTTAGTCCACGAAAACTGACACTCACAGACCTGTCTGGATACAGAGAGAGACAGATTAATAAATAACACATTCAACGTCTCGATCGTCCCCCTTCACCCTATCCTGTAAAGCCTGATATTCTTGGGTCAAAGTAAAAACCGAAAGAACTGCGGACGCCGTAAATCAGGAACAAAAGCAGGAGTTGGGTCAGACTCTTGGGTCAAATGTGGGATGCGAGGGCGGATTTGTGAAATGTCGTGGTGAGTGAGATGGGAAACAATTCCATTCCGTCAGCGCGACTTGTAAGAGAATCACGAGAAAAGGTGACTTGGTGGAAAGATGTTTAGCTTTCAGTCAGGAAAGGGAACACACAGAGAGGGGGGAGAGGGGGGGGGGGGGGGGGGGGGGGGCATGTGGAGAGCTGAAAGCCTGAGAGAAGGGGCTGATGAAATGTATACGCACATCAATGCAGGCACCCCGATTGAAGCAGGACTCGCTCCCTCCCTCCACCTTTTGCTTCCAATCTGTCCGGAAAGCTTGATGCATATTAAACAGATGATCTGTGTGACGTTCAGAGTTAGAGAGATAATAATCAGTCTGGTCAGATGAGAAAACACTCGTCGTTTCATCGCTCAACACACGCCCCCAACAAAAGAAAAACCAGTTTTTAAAAAAAAAGTCTTAGAACCTATTGAGGATTCTCTCAGTGTCTCTCTCACGTTTCGCTGAGGCATGGGTTTGAATTCGAAGAGAAAAGCGGTCAGTCACAGAAAGGATTCGTCGATTCCTCCCGGGACCAGGGAGAGCCGTTAAAAACCTGACCGAGAGGCTAGTAGTCAGTCTGCATTAGTAAGTGCGGCTGAGGGGAGACAGACAGAGTCCCGGGGGTGGGGCTGGTGTTACCCATCACACAGCAAGAGAAGGCAAGGAACCCCGCGCCACAAGGTAAGGGGAGTGTGTGTGTGCGTGTGGAATAAATGCTCAGTGAGTTTCACAGCTTTTAAAACAGACTTTTCCAGAAGTCGGCATCACCTTGCCCCTCAGCACAATATTTCATGTGCGAGACCGGGGAGGGGAGGAGGGCAGCAAACTGGGGGAATGAGGTGTAAAAATTTGCTGCAGCTCTTATCCCCCACCCCTGCCATTGATAACGTCCCTCCCCTTTCCATCCCATATCTCCATCCCCGAAGTTGCTGCTGGTTAGGCGCCACACGGTGTCAAGCTTCGAGGTGCATTGATGTATCCGCCTTGCTCGTTCCCGCCACCTGCCTAACCGGGTTGAGGGCGGGGAGTGTGTTATACCAATCCTAAAGCCCCGTCCGTCCGGGAAGACATTACCCGCCCCTGAACGCAGCCGAGAGAGGCTTCCCATTTATTCCTTTTCCTTGTCAACTTGATACAAAGTTGCCTGGAAGAAGTTGAGAAATCTCCGAGCGGGTTATCCCGGAAGATCCCATGGACATGTTGTCGGAGGAGGACCCTGTGTGTTTTCCATTCCGAGTGTAGCCGGCCAGCGGGAAAATTCTTTCTTGCCTTCGTCTAGTCCGATCGTCATGGTTACACGACCAGTAACCATGGCGAGAGATCTCAGGTTGAAGGTGGATGAGAATTGATAATAAAACACTTCAAGGCTCCCCTCAGGGATACGTGCATCCTGTCCCCCCACAACCTTCAGTTCGACAGCAAAACCCAGGATTTTTGTTTGGAGTAAATTGTACAGTCCATCAAAAATGATTTCTACCTTTTTAAAAAATCTATCATCAGCAATTAAATTCACCCCCTTTCCACCCCAGGAACTGCATAATAGCCAGGTCCTCTAAGGTGATATTTTCATTGTCACTACAAGAGGAGGCTGTTCAATGGACAGAATGGCCTACTGTTCCTGTTTCTTTTCAAATATAGGGATTTATGACACACAAGGAGGCTATTCAGCTCTGTGCCAGCTGAAAAGGAGTAATCCAGTCAAATATGACTTTTCCGACTCTTATAAGTCACAGCACTTCAAGTTAATTTTATTTATTAATTCACTGGATGTGGGTGTTGCTAGCTAGCTCACAGTCCTTTATATCTCAGTAGGCAGAACCTGTCTCATGATGTCAGTTAGCCCTTTCAGGTACTGACTGCCTCATACAACAACTGCCCAAACTTTATTCTGGTTGTTAATTGTTTTGTATAATTGTTTCATTAAATAAAACAGGTTTGATACTACTTCATCCCCTCCCAAGTCTCTGACTTTATAAAAAGCTGATGACTTGGTTGAGTTGAAAGTCTGCTGTATCCAGGTGCACTTCATTTCCCAAATGTCTCCTGTCATTGATGAACATTTGTTCCCCTTGGATGATCTTTGGTTTGCTTGTCAGAGACCGTCTTTGTGTTTCGGAAAGAAGTAATCCTGTTTTTTTAATGCTTAATGAGGTAAACTCACGTGATTTTGTACTAATGCTATTGAATAGCATTGCCATTTCTTCAAGTTCAGTCATGGATAGTTACTGTGATATAGATCATAGAATCCCTACAGTGTGGAAACAGGCCCTTCAGCCCAACAAGTCCACACCAACCCTTGGAGCATCCCACCCAGACCTATCTCCCTATAACCCACCTAAGCTACACATCCCTGAACACTATGGTCAATTTAGCATGGCCAATCCATCTAACCTGCACATCTTTGGACAGTGGGAGGAAACCCACGCAGACACGGGAAGAATGTGCAAACTCCACACAGACAGTCGCCCAAGGGTGGAATCGAACCCAGGTCCCTAGCACTGTGAGGTAGCAGTGCTAACCACTGAGCCACCATGCTGCCCTATCTCAAAACTGCTTCTCATAGGGAGCTGAATTGACTGTATCAAGTGTCTACTACTAATTCATGATGTTGTGGTGGTGCCAAGGATATCAAATGATCAGATTTTGAAGTTTTGGTTGCAATTGGAAAACAATTGAATAATTCTTTTTATTTCTGTGAAATCAGTTGTGTCTTCTGATCTCTCAGTTGCGAAAGTTACCAACATAACTAATCATGAGTGGTGCATGTTTTCTCCGAGGTTCAGTGAACATTAGAGTCTTAGAGTAATACAGCATGAAAACAGGCCCTTTGGCCCAAACTGATCCATGCTGACCATGGTGCCCTCTCCGCTAGCTCCAATTGCCCACATTTGTTCATCATGACTATACAGCAGGTCAGGGTGTAAAAGGCCCAGACGGGGTGGAATTTGTCAAATGTGTCCAAGAAAGTTTCCTAAATCAATATGTAGAGGGCCCTACTCAGGAAAGCACAGAACCAGATCTCCTGTTAGGAAATGGGGTCAGGCAAGTGACTGAAGTGTCAGTTGGAGCACACTTTGGGTCCAGTGACCACAACTCTCTTAGTTGTAACATCGTTTTGGAAAAAGATGGGACAGGTCCACAGTTTAAGGTGTTAAACTGGAGCAAGGCCAATTTTGGGGCCGTTAGCCAAGATCTAGCAGAGGTTGATGGGATGAGTCAGTTTGAAGGAAAAGGCACGACTGGCAAATGGGACGCTTTTAAAAAGTGTCATATTAAGAGTCCAAGGACATGTCCCTTGTTAGAATGAAGGGAAAAGCTGGCAGTTTTAGAATCCCTGGCTGTTGAGGGATATTGAGGCTCTGGTCAGGAAAAAGAAGAAGGCGTACATTGGGTTTAAGCTATCGGGCTCAAGTGAATCCCTAGATGACTATAAAAAGTGTAGGAGCACACTCGAGGAAAATCAGACGAGCAAAAAGAGGGTATGAGATGGATCTGGCAGATAAGGTTAAAGATAATCCCAAGAGGTTCTATAGCTATATTAAGAGCAAGAGGGTGGCTAGGCAGAGAATAGGTCCCTTTAAAGATCAGCATGGCTATCTATGTATGGAGCCACAGGAGATGGGGGAGATTTTTAATGAATATTTCTCCTCAGTGGTTACTGAGGAGAGAATCATGGATGATATGGAAATAAGGGGAACAAGTAGGGATGTTTTGGACTGCATACATATTACCAGAGGAGGTGTTTGCAGCCTTAAAGCACATAAAGGTGGATAAATCCCTTCAGTCTGATCAAGTGCATCCTGAATGTTGTGGGAGGCTGGGGAAGGAATTGCAGAGGCCCTTGCAGAGATTTTTGCTTCATCTTTAGCCACTGGTGAAGTTCCAGAAGACTGGAAGGTGGCTAATGCTGTTCCATTCTTCTGAGACCTATGAAATCATCCCCTTGTTAAGCAAAACTGTGCTGGTCATTGGTATTTGTCTTTAGCGCTAGTTAATGTTCTTCAACATACTGCAGTATTTTAAGAACAAAAGTATGTTTTTTTGCTAAGTAGTGAGAAATGTTGGTTTCTGTTGACGTGTACCTGTCCAACATAGTATTGGTCTCTGCGTGTTCAGACAATGCTGAGTATTCCTTTGATTTTAAGTGATGTTCTGCCTGTGTCATGCAGTTCTCTGTCAGATAGTTGTAGTTTCATTCTCTTCCACCAATAGATAATACCATAATATTCACTGCAGTGTTAAGTTTGAAATCAGTTGGATGACCATTAAACTGTATGTATAATATCTGGTTCAGATGAAGCAGCTACCCATAGGAACCTATTACCCCTAGGAATTGTTGATTCACAGCTTTCAAACATGTTGTATCATCATATAAAGATATATGTCTCATGAATGTATGTCTTGATATTTTGGCCTTTTTTTTCAAAGATATTGACACCTCTGGAAATGTCATATTTTTATTACAAAGTTTGCATTATCATGATAAAGCTGTACATCGTTTCTTAACTGCACACCTGGAACAGCGTGTTCTAGCATCTAAGTAATTTGATGACTTTTTATGTTGGTCTGTCATGTGATGTTTTGATGACAAAGTTGACAAAGTCTGATGAACTTCTTCGGTTAAGTCAGCTTTCTGTTCCCATCATTCTGTTGCACTGTTTCCAGATTTCAGCCTCTGCCACTATCTGCATAGTTCTTTTGAGTGTGAGATCCTCTTTTAGATTGTAACATATCTTGCATCCTGGTACAAAGAATCCAGGTAACTTTCTCCTTCCCTGATATGTGTCAAAAATTGCAAATCGGCTTCCATCTCAATGGCTCTGAGTCAAAGTTCCTTGAGCCACAAACACTAACTGCAGAAGTGTTTGCCCTGGATGACATGGTATCCACTAGCTCTCTCATTCTTCAACTTCATCACATCATCTGTCCTGCCATTCTTAATTAACTTTAATTACTTAATTATATTATTCACTTATATTGTTTATCATATAATTTTTAACTTGATCGTAGATTTCATACTATTTTAAAACTTAAGAATGGAATAGATTGTAACTACTTACCACATACTCACCAAATAATTAGCTGCCTCCCCTGGTGTAGAGCAAAAATAATTTCTTATGGGCAAAAAATGTAGAAAAGAAAACGGACACCTCTTCCCCACTTCAGTGAACACTCGCTCACCAAACTCTCAGGTTTGTATTTAATTTTCTCAGCAGCACGTCCCTCTATGACCTTTCCTCCACAATCCACCAAAATCTTTGAACTCCTCCATTTCTGGACTCTTCTGCAGTTTTGTTTGCTGCATTATTGGTGGCTGTGCCTTTAACTGCTTAGTCTCTAAGATTTGGAATTCCGTCTGTGAACCTCTTTGCCTCTGTACTTCTTTATTTCATCCTTTCATGTGCTCCTTAAAATCCACCTTCTTGACCAAGCCTTTGATCTCCTGCTGTAGTGTCTTCTTTCATGATTCAGTGCCAAATTTTGTTTGCTGCCATGAAATGCCTTGGAATGTTTTCCTGCATTAGTGGGATCTAGGATCATGAGTCAACTAAAGTGAAGGGATGTAAGATGTGTTCAGTGTATATACAAGGTATTATGTGCTTGGAAGGTAACTTAATGGTGTTCACACACATCTGTAGCCCTTTTCCTTCGAGATGGTTGAAGTCACAGTTTGAAAGGGG